AACACCGTGAATAAAGCGAATATTAAAACAGCGAGATATAAGTTGTAATTACCCGAAATAACAAATGACAAGAACATAAACACTCAACAACAGTGTTTGTATAGCACAGTACTCTTCCCTGGAGGCACATTGATGTCGTAGTATAAACACAATTAACTACTCAAATTATTAAGAAGTAGGTTCAAGTCTGAAATGCAATAAAAATTTAATTATGGTGGCCACCATTATGGATTATTACATGGATTTTACCATGGTGGGCTGCTATAGAAAAACCCATTGTGGAGAATCCTGAGCTGCGTATGGCGGATGTTACATTCGGCAGGGATTGCTACTCCTTCATGGCACCTGATCTCACCTCTGTTTTGGAGGTTTGTGTTTGCCCTGACCCTTTTTTGTAATGTTTAATTGACTTTTGAGTTGGCTACGTTATATTTTGATGCAAAAAGTTCCTGACTGTTGGTAGTTCAGACTGAACTAAGGTCACGGCTTTACTTTTCTCACTCTATTTGTTTTATTAATTCATATAAATAAATACAATTCATATGAAGATAGAACTTTCCTGTAAATTACACGATTGAAATAATAGCGTTTTAAATAGATATTAGAGATTTAAAACAATAAACGATTTATTTACCGACTCAGATTTTAATATCAGACACAGTTTAAAGTCAATTTTAGTGCTGAAACTCGGGGTTATTTAAGTTCAAAATCGGTGAAATTTCATTTGTACACATGATCATAAAAATCTACACTAAAACTCGTTTTTTTTTTAAGCTCAAATACGCTATAAATAGATTTAAAGATAAACAAGAGGCCCATGTTTTACCTCCATTCATCGCTCACCAGAGCACTAGTACTGTGGCTAGGGTAAAAGCATGAATTAGTTTATTATTGAACATTTTAAACTCAAAAGTAGTACCAGCCACTCCTTTTAGGGGAAAGATAATGATTTGCACAAACTTGAATCTACAATACCTGAGAATTATTCCATATAAATATGATTAATCATGTCCTTGCTATTCTTGAGAAGATTTTGAAAGAATTTTCCTATGTATATATCTATGTAAAAATGTATATATCTACGTAAAATGTTGGTCGGCCATTGATGTCCCAATCAAACCCAGGGGGTCATGATTTAAACAAACTTGAATTTATACTACCTGAGGATGCTTCCATTAAATATGACCAATCATAGCTTTGCTATTCTTGAGAAGAAGATTTTTATTTCCTATATATTTCTTTGTAAAACATTTGTCGGTCATTGTGGCCCCGCCCTACCCCCGGGGTCATGATTTGAACAAACTTGAATCTACATTACCTGAGAATTCTTCTATATAAATACGACCAATCATGGCTCCGCTATTCTTGAGAAGAAGATTTTTAAGGAATTATTCTATATATTTCTTTGTAAAATTTTGGTCGGCCATTGTGGTCCTGCCCTACCCCCGGGGTCATAATATAAACAAATTTGAATCTACCTGAGGATGCTTCCATATAAATATGATTATTCATGGCTTTTCTATTCTTGAGAAGATTTTTTTTAATTAGCTATATATTTCGTCGGCTATTGTGGCCCCGTCCTACCACCATGGGTCATGATTTGAACAAACTTAAATCTACACTACCTGAGGATGCTTCCATATTAATATGATCAATTAATTTTTTATTCTTGAGAAGATCTTTAAAGAATTTTCTATATATTACTATGTAAATTTTGATTGGCCATTGTGGCCTCGACAACCCCCCCCCCCCCCGGGGGTAATGATTTGAACAAATTTGAATGTGCACTAACTGAGGATGCTTCCATATAAATATGATTTATCATGATTTGTCTATTCTTGACAAGATGATTTTTTTAAAAAAATTCCTACATACACATTATAAGGAAATAATTATTTCCTACTCCAATTAAACTCTCTATTATGCAAGTAAGGAGCAATCAAATCATGTGACCTGAAAGTAGGTCATAATCTGGAAAAAAAACGAGAAAGTTGGTTAATTATTAGTCACTATAGGCTAGCTGGGAAGCCCATCTTGATATGGCAGGTGAGGCACTTGTCAGAAATTGAAATTATGTTTATTTTTAAAAATAATAGTGATAATTTTTAAGCAATAAACTTCTTTCTTTGTTTGCTATTACTGGAATTAATGGTCGCAGCTATTGCAGAAAAAATACATAACCCGCGTAAGCGTGTTATGTAATTTTTTCTGCAATAGCTGCGACCATTAATACTGGAATTAATGGTCGCAGCTATTGCAGAAAAAATACATAACCCGCGTAAGCGTGTTATGTAATTTTTTCTGCAATAGCTGCGATCATTAATTCCAGTAATAAAAAACAAAGAAAAACATTTTTTTGTTCATATTATATCATGTATCTGTAAAAATAATCATTTAAAGAAGGATTAACAAGTCTAATTATTGTATTAATGATGCAAACGTCTTTATACTCTTCATTGATGAACAGCTACTGATCAAGAAATCTGTACAGGCGACATGCCTACTGTAGTTCATGGAGTGCTTAACGCAATGGTTTTCGTAAGAAATAAAGGAGAAAATATTCATTGGATGTGCTTGAAGAGCTGATCCAGAGAAACCCTATTCATATACAATTTATTCGTTGCTTTCAATACAATTTGCAAATTATTTCGTCAAATTTGACTATATTAACATATACATTGTAATGAAAATATATGCCTTTCACTTTCACATTATTTATTCTAATTATCTAACTACAATATTACAGCACAGCATTTATGTGACTGAGACACCTGTGGATGGACCCCCCTGGGCAGAACTCAGGTAGTCCTACTCTGTAACCTGTTTCAAAGAGCTCTATTACAGAGTCATTGTGAACTTTGTCAAATTAACCTGTGTAAACTTATTGTTTGACTCAAACCCTAGTAATGGACCCCCGTTACAGTGCCCAAGAAATCCTCCTCTGTGACCTGTGTCAAACAGCTGCATTACAGAGTCATTGTGAACTTTGTCATGTAAATCTCTGTATAGTCTGTGTTGGAAAGCATCTCTCTGATTCATCTAAAAGACACAATGTTGTACCATACAAACACAGGTTTACTCCTAGCTTTCTAAAATGTCCAAACCATATCCAGAAACATTGTGAACTTTACTGTGAGAAATGTGACATTCCTGTCTGTTCTATCTGCATCTCCTCTGGAAAACATAAAGGACATGATTTATCTGATGCTTTGCAAAAGTTAAATACTAAATTAAAGGATTTAAAAAAGGACTTGAATGAACTAGAGAAAATAATCTATCCTGCATATAAAGCAATTGAATCAGATTTAATTTCTGAAAAAGTAAACTTGGAAAAACATTATGAAAAACTGACAACCGCTGTAACCAAACATGGAGAAGACTGGTACAGAACAATTGACATTATTGTCAACAAACAGAAATCTGAAATTGATGAGATGAAAGCTAAGCACCTGGCTGCTCTAAACATAAAGGCAAATGAAATTAAAGAGATTACGTCTGATGTAAAACAGAGCATATTTGATGTAAAGAAAATGCTGGACTCCAATGATGTCTCCCTAACTACTGCATACACATCCAGGAATGATGAATTCAGAAATGTACCTCCTAAAATCAATATTTCATTTCCAAGTTTCTATTCACACCACGTAATGACAGAACAGCTGAATCAAATGTTTGGTTCTCTGTCAAAATTATCCATTACAGGAGAAAAACAAACCTACATAATGCAAACACCAGAAGCTGTATCATGCCCTTCTGTCAAACCACTGCTTGATGAACCAGAGCTCATCACCACCATAGACACTGGGTATGGACTACTATACAGTGTGACCAGTCTCCGTGATGAGGAAATCTGGACATGTGGACATGACAAAATCATGAAACTCTACAATCTCCAGGGCAAACTATTGAAGTCAATGAAAACCAAGTCAGGGAACGATCCACGTAATATAGCAGTGGCAAAGAGCGGCGAACTAATTTATACGGATACTGGGAAAAGAACCGTAAACATATTGAAAAATAAACAGATACAGGAAGTGATCAGACTACAGGGATGGATACCTCTCTATGTTTGTTTTACCTCATCTGGTGACCTTCTAGTTACCATGGATAGTGAGGATGAAAAACAATCAAAAGTTGTCCGTTACTCTGGCTCTATAGAGAAACAAACCATTCAGTTTGATGATAAATGTGAACCTCTGTATTCACCTGGGATACGTATCTACAGTAAATACATCAATGAGAACAGGAACCTAGACGTATGTGTAGCTGACAATAAAGCCAGTGCAGTAGTGGTGGTCAATCAGGCAGGAAAATTCCGATTTAGATATAATGCATATGGTCATCTCTGTACTGATAAGAAATCTTTTGATCCACGTGGTATCACAACAGACAGCAAGGGTCAGATCCTGACAGCAGATTATAGTAACAACTGTATCCACATCCTAGATCAGGACGGACAATTCCTCTGTTACATTTATACCTGTGATCTACAGTTCCCGTGGGGTTTATGTGTAGACACCACAGATAACCTCTTGGTGACTGAGTGTATGAGAGGAAAAGTGAAGAAAATCAAATACATGTAGAAGATCAAACAAAATAATGCAGTGATTACCATGGTTGTTTAAACAATCACTAATTGAAGTGATCATAACAATAATATGTAACAGAATATTGTATTCTAACGTTTTTATTTGAAACATGAGGATTGTCCATGAAAAAACGCAAACAATTTCAATGGTTTAATTTTGGTTTGCCCAATATCATAAAGTTAAAAATTAAAGAATGACTGCACTTAAGCTATGGAAGTTGGAACCCGATGTTTTGCGCAAAATAAAATTACAAAATTCATTCAATTTATGTTCTATAGGTATTAAACAATATCTTAAGAGCAGGTTTTGGTATATTATATAACATGAAAGTATTAAACAATGCCGAGCGACACCAGCTTTTGAAACGGGGGTCTAATAGTTTTGTCTCATTTCTATTGTTATTCATATGCATACCAGTTTTCAACGACTTTGTTTACATCGAGCCGCAACTTGACCATTTTTCTTATTTACACAGAATGTGTATTTTAACTTAAACTTATACATATCCAAAGGACAATGTTGGTCAAGTTGCGGCTCATATCTAATTTTTAAAAAAATGTCCCCAAACTACGGTCGAGATAACTACTAAATTAACCGGTCACCGTGCATCAACGATTGATATTATAATCACCTTAATCACGTGACATTCTGCTGTTCGATACGCTAATGCTTTCATTGAACATTTCATTGTGTGTAAGTCTCTGTTGTGACAGTATCTGTTGTACTTCCAACTTCAAACTATGGGATATTTTTGCGCAAATTTTAATAGGGTTTGAAGATAATATGCCTCTTATTTAACTTTATGCTTTACATTAGGGGTGTTTGGAAAGAATTCTGGTATTGACAGTGTCAAAGAAAAACTGTACATGTATCTATAGGCTTATGTCGCCTCTGTATTATGGTCTGTAGAGCGAGACATCTACCCCATCCCTTATCATCAGAATCATTTCATAATTGTGCACCATAAAATCAACAAGATCTCTCTCTTCTCCATTTAAATTCGTAGTGCGAAAAAAATCAGATGTGCTATTGTTTACATTCCACAACCATGCGGTTTAAATGACTCCGCCTATTTGCGGATACCTTAGATTCGAAAGTGGTCCCGTTCAAATTTCCGGAATTTAAGGCTTTTACATGTTCTTTTCAATTACATTTTCTGTAATCATAGACATATGTATGACAAAAAATTCTATAAATAAATATCAAAAGCATATACTTGCACATTAATCATAGATTAATTTAGCGATATATTTAAATGTTAAGCTTAAAATGGGTAGCCGAAAAGGTTCCAACTCTCATAGCTTAAGTGCAGTCATTCTTTGCATACATTAAAATGTATCTTTTCATAAAACATGTAAATAAATAAGGCAGGTCCACACTTTTACGGACCCGTTTTCATTTTACACACCAATATAGAATTTCGATTATCGTTTGTCTATTGAAATAAAATCTTTTGGCAAGTATATATTTGTTTATTACAGTGTCATTGTCCACACAAATCAGTTAATGTACATTATTTGTTGGAATAATCACTTTGCACTCTGTCCATAGGATCTTTATATAATTTAGTACATACACAGACAGAGAATTCTTAATTGCCTTTATGGACCTAAAGCTTTTTAATTTTTTTTTAACAAACTAAATTGAGATCTATTTTATTTTTAATTTTAAGCCTATTTCATCTTTATTTATCAGAAACGAAGATTTGCGAAGAACGATCGAAAAATTAGATAATCAAAAAAATGGGGATGTAGGTGTTCAAAAGGCTGTTTTGTTAAATTTATCTGGTCAACCATAATAAAGTATGTGTTTTTGCTAACCTAAGATATAATTCTAAATAATTGTAAAGAAAAAATAGCATGTAAACATATAAGATTTTGAGAAATATTTAAAATTAAGATATTTTGTGGGTTTATTTCTGAAAGATGTGGACAGAATCAACATCAATTGTTTAGTGTTTTCAAATAGAAATTTCAAATCTTCTCTTGACAAATGAATATTTTTGATTTTCATAAGTTTTAACATTAATTTGAAGTGATTTTGTACATAGCTAAATAAAATATGATGTCACACTTCTTTATGTTGAATTTTGGGTGATGAATTCTTAGAGGTAAGTACTCCGAGACATGTTGCATGAAAATTAACCTGCAAAGATATGTTTTTTATGTGTGTTTTAGTTAGATTATGACTTATTCAAGATATGCAAATAAAAAATAAACAGTTTGACAGAAAATTCTGAAAGTACGGACCTACCTTTACAGAAATTTTTAGTTAATAATTTTTTAGATTATACATTCGTCTTTGGTAAACGAATCATTCGAAATAGTTGTTATCGCAACATCAACCAAATCAACCAGATCAAAAGGTAGCTTGTTTCATAGTTTTTTTTAAAATTTATTCAGGTATCGTGCTCGTTAAAATTCGTTCGAAGCATACATTCGATACTTCATTTGTCGCCTCCGTGGCGCAGTGGTAAGATCGTCTGCTTTACAGTCGCGAAGTAAGGTTTTGATCCTTACGTCGCAGGTTCGAAGCCCACTGTGGGGCGTGGACACCGGTCTTTTGGATGAAACTGTATAAACCGAGTTTCCGACTCGCAGTAGGTACTGGCACGATAAAGATCCCTCCCTGTTAAATGGCCCTGTGCCAAGTGTAGGACAAAATTTGCAGCACTCCACCGGCAAGTAATAGTGTCTCCATATGAGTGAAAAATTCTCGAGAGAGACGTTAAACAATATACAATCAATTGATCTTTCGTTTGATTTTATTTTAGATACCGGTTTATTCCATTTCATACGCACTACAGTAAAGAATAAATCAGAATAAATCCTTTCAATAGACAATTTCCTAACCCCGACCATGTCTAATTCCTAAAACTGCTAAGTGATCTTATTTGAGTCAAATCCCGCTATAAACAATACTTAATGCTAATTAAGTACACAGCATTATCGCTGGACGTCATCGTTATTGGAAATTTTTCATTTATAGTATTTGTGCATATAACGTCATAGTTTTGTAATTTATGATATCAGAGTATTGATTTACTTTACGAGTAATTTCAGTCAACAATTTTCTAATAATAATAATATTTTTGCTACATTTTATTTCCGCATAGCTTTGTAAAAACGAGAAAAAAATGCTGTCATGCTATTTTTAAATGTTGAGAAATTGCCTTGCTCCAATATCCGATTTTTAATACCCTTTAATTTTTTATATATAAATGCACATGACATAGGAAACTCATTTTATTTAGCCAAAAGGACAAAAATATAATTTCCTACAGTGATTTAAGCAGTTCCGGATCGTAACGGTAAAACACTCGGTAAATTATTTATGAAGGACTTGTGTTTGATTTCTATAATTGAAATAAATAGTCCTCTATTTACTCTTTCAAGCCACATTAATATTTTGTTTAAAACGTTATACGTTATAATCGAAGTGTTCCAATTAAGGTAAGGTTTGCGTCTCCCTCCAACTTTTATTTTTTTTAATATGCACACATGCCATATATCAATTTATTCAGGGAGATTAGCTTCATCATTTAATAGGATTTTCAAAGATATTGCCCGTCCCATTTTTTTAGTAAAAGAGGCCAAATTTAACGTATTTCATATTTCACCAAGAATATTATTTTCATTGAAAAAACTGATTTTTTCTTAAATTATCAAACTTTTATAATTAAAATGACCTAAATTAGTATAATTCATGCTTCTGTTATTCAAACTTTTCATTTTCCGTTATCAAAAATGTGAAAATTTCGGTAAAAAAGAAGATTTTTCAATTTTCTTTGATAAAGTGAAACCGTTGCCATGGCAACAAAAATATAAAAATCAACCTCTTACATATCTTCCGATTCCATCAAAATCCATGAAGTTATTAATTTGATCATTTTTATTAATTTGAACTAAAAAAATATGTATGTCCCCAATATTATTTCCATGGAAACAGGGGCTATATTATGGGTTCGGAACATAAAAATGAGGCTTTTCTACACCTCGAAAGACAATATTGATTTCACCTTGTCATGGTGAATGTTAAAGACTAAATGTTATTTTTGATATTGTTTTAGGCGTAAATTGGCCAAAAATATTCAAAATAAAACTCCTCCTGTGCTACATGATGTTCTAAAAATTTATTCCATGGAAGATTCAAGAACTCTAGTACTTATGGCAATCTTTACATCTGAATATCCTGATGAAATTGTCCATGAGTTATACTGCAACACCTTTAGAAGTACATGTATATGTATATAAACATACTTCAGAACATGTTGCAACTAAACCAATTAAAAGCCTGTGAATTTGACCACATGCTGATTTAGTTATTCCAAAATGTAGTAACTTCTAAACATCTTTGTAGCAAAATATCTTTATTCAGTTATGGCTGGTGACTGTCATTATACATCTATGCCATTTTTTGAGTGAAATGTTGTAAGAATTGCATCCACGAAGCTGCTGTTTTTATAATTAAATGATTTCTTTACTTCGAAGAGTAGAAATGCTATCTTTAAAGTAATGTTTGTTTGCCCTGTCTTGACTCAGGGTAAAATTATTGGGTCAATAGGTGAGAAAACATTCAACAACATTTTTTAAGGGGGATAAGAGGAATAAAAAAAAACGGCCCTGCATTGAAAAAAAGTTTTAAGTCTGGTCATTTAAGTCAGTTGGTCTGGAGAGGCCGACAACCAAACATTTTTTAAAGATGGCCTATTTCTACACTTCATGGACAATAGCTAAATCATTGGATTAGGTAGTCTGAGAATCAAAATAGAAATATCAGACAGAACAAAATAAAGATGAATTCTAAGTGGCACCAATTCATACTTTAATGAGTTTACAGAGTACTTCTGATTTCAGAGAAAAGCATTGAAATGACATAGCACTGTCATGAATATTTGTCAAGAACAGAGAAAAAGAAACAATGCTACAGTGATAGATATATCTCCATGATATCCATTAAAAATAATTTACATATAATAAATTTTTCTACTACAT